ACCACCACTTGCTATGGTATTTCCCCCTTCTGTCCATGTATTCACAGGGAATTCTTGGGCTGTCTGCTTACTGCGCCGTCGGCCTGCTCTCCGTCTCTCTCTCTCTCTCTCTCTCTCTCTCTCTCTCTCTCTCTCTCTCTCTGCCAGCTCTACCGCACACATTGGCCTATCTCGTCTGTTTACCTAGACTCGTGACTTCGTGGCGCAAGTCTCCTACTCCGACCTTGCTTGATAGGCCGCGTCTTCCGTGACGGAAGACACGAGGCGTCGTGCTGCTATCGTCGCCCATCCCCACTTCGCAGTCAGATCATATTGCAAAGCCTCCACTACACATGTCCTAGGCACTGGCAACATTGTGCCGTCTTTGACGGGGGGAGGGGGGAGGGAGCGAGCAGAACATGACACAGCAAGGTGAGGTGCTTGCGTTGCGAATTTGGGGGGGGGGGAGAGCCCCGGTCGGATACGGCTCGTATAGTGGAGTCCGGCAGGGAAAGCTCTGGAGTGTCCTCTTTCGTCCTCGCCAATGTCTTGGGAGGGGGGCCAACATGTACTTTGGAGCTCTTGGGTCCGTCGCGCGCACAGTACTGCGCCAGAGCCTCGGTGGGTTGGTACGAGCAGGAAGAGTGGAGACCCATGTCCGCTCGCGCTGGTCGAGGAGGAGCAGGGGGCCAGATAGAGATGGGACAGGGGGACGCAACCCGCTAGTGGTGCTCGGCGGTGCATGGTGAATCTGAAGTGATGGATGGCGGAAGCCTCTTTGCTCACCCACAGGTCTCGCTACACACCCAATCCCCCCGTCCGTTGTCTACGTTACCTGCTGTACTGTATTGGTAGTGTGGACTGCGCTCAGCAGGCCAGCAAGCCAGTCAGCAGCTGTGTCCTTCTGTGGTCATGACGCTTGCCACTTGAGGTCGGTGACGCAATGACGTCGTCTTTGCTGTGTCTTCCAGGCCCTCGTCGTGTCCGAAGCTCTCCTCGCGGGCCTGCCGGAGCGGCGTCGTCGGGTTCGCGAGCTCAAAAATCCAGCAAGCCACAGAAACAAACTTCAACACAATAGCGTTGATAACAAATTGCATCTAACGGAAGAGTAACAGCACAGGACGCTGGACAACGGTGATGACTCGCCAACGGCCCGTCTGTCAATCCTTCTAACCCCCATGGGCATTCGAGCCTCCCGGGGGGAGTTTGACTTTGGCACCGGCCACACGCTTGTTTCGTTGCCGCGGACGGTCTTCCTTGCCCTGTCTTGCCCTGCTCCTTCCTTGCCAGCCGCTCGTCTACCGTCTCATGTTGGCGCAGTCACTGGCGATGAGCTCGTGCCGCTAAACACCAAACAGGAGAATTGCCTCTCGAGAGCAGAGACCACCGCGGTGGAGTGTTGGTGTACATGTAGCATCCTTCCAAAGAAATGGAAGCAGAAGCTACGACGCCGTCGAAACTCGTGACCGAAAACAATCCCCCGACTGTCGTTTTCTCTCACGACGTGCCCTTTATCTCGACTGATAACAAGTCAATGATAAGGGGACACACGGAGATGCAAGTCGCAGCTTTACTTGCGCGCGCGCGCTGACTGGGAAAAACCTCTCGGGTCACGATCCACCTTTCGGCTCCGGACGTGCTCAGATCAGCTGGATCGTCAGCCTATGCAACACGGCATGACACACCATTGGAGCTATCAACACTTGTTCCACATTCCTCATTCGCCCTGGAATCGCCCTGGAATAGTATCCTCAAAATGATACAGAAGGACGATGGCACGACGCGCTCGAGGAATGGTTTTCTGACACGGGAACAAGACTACATGTACACGATCTGCCTACCATTTTCTCCCGATTCACCATGGCCTTTGAGGGACCTGGCGCGCTCAACTGAGGATTTGGTGTACCGTCTTGGCACCGGTCGGGGGTGGAAGAATTTTCGCCTCGTCGTTATCAGGAAGAAGCATGATGCCACCCACAGAAGAGTATGGGTGCGCCATTTCACCATGTCCCGACGCCGCTTTCCACCCAACATCGCTACCCCCAAAGCCCCCCAAGTTCGTGGTTGAGGCCGGAGGCGAAAAACTGTGTTTCGGTTGGGGGGCAGACGGGGGGGGGGGGGGCTGCCTAGGGCCAGGGGTCAAGGCCAAGCAAGATAAGCCCCCAAGCCCGCAGAGGTCTGGTAAAGCGCACTAAGTGGCTCGAGCTCCCCTCGTTCAGTGTTCTGGACTTTGTTATGGTGGGGGTCCAAAGCTTGGACCGGGGCACTCCGATGGGACGACCTTCATGCTGATCCCTCCCAGTCGCGTATTTCTTCGCTAAACAATGCCCCACACCTAGGCTCAATCCCCTTACCAGATCCATTTTTGTGCTTCCCAAGCGATCATTGAAAGGTACATTTAGGGCTTCCAAAGCGTTTCCCTCTGGGGCGGCAAACCA